GTTTTAATAATTTTAAATGATATTCATATTGTAATCTTATCACGTGCCTTACATTAATCAAAAATAATCAATATAAATTCAGAATTTATCATTTTATATCATACTCTAAGTAAAATTAAAACAATTAGAAACTATGTTACATTGAAAGGCAGAATGAAGGCAGAGTTCAGATGAAACAAAAAAAAATACTATTGAAAAGAAAATTAGGCAGACAAATAATAAATAGTGACAAAGTTATGAATAAAAACGTTTATTTTTTCTGATTGAATTTTATTTTGTATTTCGTTATTTATTAATTTGTCGTTTAATTTTACTGTTTAATGATTTTTACTTCAATAGCCCAAGTTTTGTGAATACAGTTTGAAAACGTTGAATATAAATATGTATATTTAGTAATCAATCTCATAACTTTCTTGTGAAAATGTTAAGGTTGCTTAAAATGGAATTTTCAATAGGTTTCAAATTCAGTCACCTTAGTTAAATCAAAGTTTAGTAAATAGGTATAAAACGTATCAATAGCACAATCCGAATATATTAACATTATTTCATTTCATTTTTATTTCACATCATTCTGTATTTTTAATTCCATATTAAACTTTTCCAGAACTAACACTAACAAAAAACAAAAACATTTAGTGTTATAACAAGTTCAAATAATTCTTCCTGAACAAATTAAATTTCACCTTCAGTTGAAAGTTATGAATATAACTTAATTAATTTAGTTTATGTGTAAGCAAATTTAACTTAAAGCACATGAGAGTGTCAATTCAGTCAAAAGTAACTGAACTCTCTTCACAACTAAATCAACAGTTTTTTCGAGTAGGCCTAGAGATAGCATAATTTACAAGCTGAGAATGAAAAGTAGATTAAAATGCTGGTTAAGACATTTAAAGTAAATATGACAAGTAGATTAAAATGCAAGTTAAGACATTTAAAGTAAATATGGCAAGTAGATTAAAATGCTGGTTAAGACATTTAAAGTAAATATGACAAGTAGATTAAAATGCTGGTTAAGACATTTAAAGTAAATATAATGTAAACTGAAGTATCTAAATGAAATAAAACCAAAATCATTCCGTTATGTTTTATCTCTAGTTATGAATACAGTAGATTTAATATTCATTTCATTGAATACGTTTTATGTATGATCAGCAAGACGACATAATCTAGAAGGTTTTCCCTTTTTACATCTGACATTTTTGCTGTGATTATTATGCTATGTCGACGTTTCAGGCTGAATAAGGAACACGTAAGTGTCCCGAAACGACAAGATATTTGATAATAAAAACCCTTTACACATTACATATATTATAGATATCCACGTATAGTGCGAAATAAATATTTTGGCCTGATGTACTAGGAAAAATTAATATGCTCAGAACAATTTTAAATGCTGATCGGCCTTTATGTAGCGAGTGTTGTACTGTTATGATGATTAATAAATGTACGTGCGAATTTGAGTGAATACAGTTGTTAACTAATTAACCGTATTACTTAACAAACAAACAAAGTCCGCAATTTGTCGGTTGTTATACAATTCCTTGTGCATAAAGCATAGCAGAATGATTAGGATTGAACGTTACTGTGAATGTATTGTAGCATAGAATAATGAAATCATCTTGCGACACAGCGCAAAAAGCTCCCAAAAATCGGAAAAAAATGTGTCCCATTATATTTTGACTGATCATTATTAGCAAATATCAGCATATCAACCTTGCAATTATTTTGTTGACAAAACGATCCCGATATACATGTATGACTTGAAGCCTAAAAGATGACCCCAGGAATCAACAGCTAGTTTTTTATTTTTTTAATAATAAATATGTATTTTAAACTAAATTGTCTTCGTTGTAGATGTTATTTTTTCTTGCACTGTTTCGTTTGACGAGATTGGCCCAGCATGATCAGGTGGTTAGGGTCCTCGACTCCCAATCTGAGAGTTCGAATCTCCGTCCCACCAAATATGTTCGCCCTTTCAGCCTTGGGGCATAATAATGTGACGGTCAATAAGTTGGCGATGGGTGGTGATGACTAGCTGCCTTCCCTTTAATTTTTCACTACTAAATTAGAAACGGCTAGGCGCAGATAGCCCTTGTGTAACTTTGCGCGAACTTCAAAACAAATTGACGAGATTATTCATTTCAGTAACAGTGAGAGCAGTTGGACAGATTTTACCGTTAAAATGTTTTCGTATTATATCATCTAATCGAAAAAGCATTAGTTTAGTTTATTGCGTAATGTAATTACTGTGTGTTCGTATTTATACACATGTAACTAAATATTATCTGACTCTAACGTTATTTGCAGCAGATCTATTTATAACGTAATTTAATCATTAGGCCTAAATTAAACGTAACATAAGGCTTACCACTTCTTCGCCACTTGAAAAATACCGGAAGAATACTGTTCACTTCATATTTGAGTTCAAAACTTTCTGCCATAATATGTACACTATACGCGGGTATATACGGTACATTTAATAAATTTGATCAGATAAGCCTTATTTGTTTTCTGGAAAACAAACGCTGTTTGGTAAGATAATAAGCATTCTATAATCTCATGTTTTACTATCCTTTTTAGTAATTTGTCAGTATAATTAATTTAAGCAATATGTCAGTAACTTATAAAATCTTAATTTGGTTTACCTAGTTTTTAACATCGATACATTATTAATTTTATCGTCTTCTGTAAATAACTGTTTTATAAAAATAGAAACTTTAATAATTTAAAAAATTCCCTAAGTTGATTTATTGGTAAAAATAAGATTTTCTCCTTATCACGTCTTTTTCATTTATTTGATATATATACAGTGGAAGGTTCCTTTTTTGTTGTTTATCTAGATATTTGCATAATTTACCGTCTTCTCTTTTTCAGTAACGATTATTTTATTAACCTCGTCTTTCCATTGTACAATTTTAAATATGAAGTCTCCGTTTTTATTTAATTTAGTTTCAGTTTCGGTTCTAGCTTAATTGAGTTTTTGAGTCCATCAACGAATTTCCATTTTGGATGAATTTTTTTATTTGTATTTTCTGCGCTATATCTAAATTAATTAAATTTCTAACATAAAACTAAATATTACGATAAAGGTTTTAGTTTTTTTATGAATGTCTTTTGTACAATATTACTTTTCATAATATCTGAATATAAGATTGCTTTATATCAAAGTGTTATAAAAGCGTACTCAGTTACTAGTTCAGGACTTGCAATAAAATCCTTTACTTGGATTTGTGTTACGATTCGTAATCTGGGATCTTACTAACAATGTTGGTTGATCAACTTTATGTGAATTAAATTATTATCCTAATCATCATACATGATTAATTTGTTTTATCATAACTGGTAGCGCTTTCGAACTGGATAATATCTGGTTCACGTTTTGAAGGCGGTAACAGAAATCTAGTAAACGCTTCATAACAGCAATTTTCAACACTATCATCTCTTCATTATTTCAGTGAATGTTCCAAACTTCACAGTATAATTTCAATGGTACAATCACAATTGTACGTAATAACTTTAACGTTAGGGTTTTATCGCTCTAAGAAATTTTATATAAGGAAAAAACCTAGGATTTATTTGATTGTCTGTTAGTTACAGCAACAAAAATAATTTCAGTTAATTTTATAATTCAATGATTTTTAAGTAATTTCCTATAAAACATCCTTTAAAATTATATATAGTATGATGAATCAATCGGAAGTTGTAATTTTTAGTGTTTTAAAGAATCATGCTCAATTGCAGAGATTGTTTCACACGTTTACTATTTTCAATTTAGTAGAATTTATTATTTATATTTCACAAAGTTCTTTGACTTGCCTCATTTGTCAAGTGACAGTTAGGTGTTTGGGGGTCTGTTTATTTTGGAATTTTCGTACAAAGCTACACAAAATCGTCCCAGTTTTGGACTAATAGACTAGAAGGAAGACAGCTAGTCAACGACACTTATTTCCAGCTCCTGAGCAACTCTTATAGTGCACCCACGACCCCAAAGTTTGAAATCGGGTTTATGCATTATTCATTAATATCGTGAATCTAATTATAAATGTACTGGACCTAAGGACTATAGTATTGTATAGTATGTTTATTGCATTTGCATGTTGGGTTTTATGTGGTCTACGATCCTCGAAATTCTCAAAATAACATCTGTTTACAAGCAAGCTCTCCATTTTTCAAAGTTTTATTTTCAAAAAAATAACTTTACTGTGTATTTGTATATTGTCTGTGTTTTGTTTTCTTCTAATATACGTGAAAATGTTTAACGTATAAATAAGAATATGCCTAAAAAGTGTTGCGTATTATCCAACCTCTTTTCATAACGTCACACAGTTACTTAGTAGGCCTAACCTTAGTAGGCCTAACCTCTAAGAATGTTCTCAAAGCAGTAAAATCAAGTGTATTGGATGATTATCTTTGGGTTTTTCTTACGTAAGGTAAAATATCTTAGATAATAAAGAATCAACTGGCAGATCTAAATAAAAAACTGTTTATAGTTTTCAATATTACGTGTCAATGTTTCCTTTATTATCTTTTATTGAAGTTTTTTTTCTCGCGTGTTGCGGATCAATATTTATTTAAAAATAACTTAGCAATTCGTTTCTCTCCCTACGAAATGAATGTCACTTTTCTGTGAACTACTTTCATCAGTTGACGTAATTTAGACTTTCAAACTTTACAGTATTCTTTTCAAAGATAGTTTACAAATATGTATTTTACAATTTTTTTTTGCTTTTGCCTCCTTCCATATATGTGTAATCATACCAAAGAATCAGAAAAATTACATACAAATTTATTATTCTCTAGTACTGTGTTATTTTTACTGGTTTATAAATCTACCTGATTATAAATAGCGCCTGTGTGAAAAACCATTTTTGAATTAGAATTTGAAGCAATTCCTGATTTGTGACTTATCTTCACATGCCTTTTTTATATATAATTAGTTTCTTTGTTTTTCTGAGTTAATATTGCTGAAATTGAACATAATCTTATTTTTTTTACTAAAGTGACCACAACACTACGGCTCTTAGATGTACAGGTTCCAACAGCAGTCAACAGTGATGACCCCGTATGGTTAAATTGTACATATGATTTAGAATCTGATGAGTTATACTCTGTGAAATGGTACAAAAATAACGTTGAGTTCTACCGCTATTTGCCAAGTGATGATCCTCCAGCACAGAAGTACAAGTTATTAGGTGTCTATGTAGATGTAAGTAAAATATTTTCTATTTTTCTTTTACATTTCTTTTTTTTACGTTAGAAATAAAACTGTTATATTTTGTAGTTATTTCGCGATACTATGAAATGGTCATATCGGTATGACAGAGCTTTCACTGCTAAGATAAAATTTATTCTATTATACTGTTGCACTCATTTAGTTCTTGTCTAATAATTGGAACAAGTTACCAACTGAACATAATAAATGTACTCTTTCTTGAGAATGACACTTCTTCTAATTACCGAAAATAACCAGATAACGCTTAATAATCTCATATGAACTAAATTATAGCTATACATTAAAACTTAACTTTCTGATAGGTGTCATTTTCTCTATTTGTTGTCCTGATGAAATTAATTTACTAGAATTAAAATTTACGTGTTCATAGTAAATTCACATATACATCATACCATATCTAGCACGAAATAACAAACTATTTAAGAAACATCCCCTAATTTACAATGTAAAGCTAAACGAATAATATTACAAACATCCACTAACTTACAATGTAAAGCTAAACGAATAACATTACAAACATCCATTAACTTACAATGTAAAGCTAAACGAATAACATTACAATATTCACTAATTCACAATGTAAAATTAAAAGAATAACATTACAAACACCCACTAACTTACAATGTAAAGCTAAACGAATAATATTACAAACATCCATTAACTTACAATGTAAAGCTAAACGAATAACATTACAATATCCACTAATTCACAATGTAAAATTAAAAGAATAACATTACAAACACCCACTAAGTTACAATGTAAAGCTAAACGAATAACATTACAAACACCCACTAACTTACAATGTAAAGCTAAACGAATAATATTATAAAGAACGTTATCTTTGCTATGATTTTTATTAGTTTAACGTTTTGACGTAAAGTCGGCTAGGATATAAAAAGATAAAAATGAACCATACATACCACTGACCATGAATACAAGCACATAAGTTAACTAAAGGTTAATGAGATTATCAACATTCAACCGGCACAATTAAGTTTAATTCTCAAGTTTCCTCATTTAGCATTTTGCAGGGGAGTCCATTACTAGGAGAAATGTTTATAATAATGTAGACACTAGTAATCATAATTTTTATTTTTAAAGTAATTAAAAGTAAATTATCTCATAACTGTTTGTCACATTAGGGGCTTATGAGTCATAGAGTTAGAATATGTAGCAGACATAGAAGTAAACTTTAAAAAGTAGTTATTTAAAAATAATCAAACTGTTCTTTTTAAGACGATCTATTTCGGTATCAATAGAAAAAATAATCTTAGATTTGTTTCATGGAGAATACAAAAACTAGATTTTTGTTGCTATTTCAGTTTAAAAACCTGTTATTTGATATGTTGTGGAAATCGTAGGTAATTCGTTGTCATTGTTAGCAGCTTACACGATAATCTCAGTCTAATTACAATTAGTTACTGAATTTCTTATTACTGTTAGATACTTATTACCACCTAACTCACCCTATGTTTCGGCTGCTAATCTACTTTTCTCATCAAATAAGATTTGAAAACGATTGCATACAATATATGCTGTGATGCGGTCCTAGGTCTTGAACGATTGTGTACAATATGATCTAGGCTGTGGTCCTTAGTCTTGAACGATTGTATACCATAATAGGGGCTAAGATGTGGTCCTTGGTCATGTTAGAAAAGTAAATGTGCTATCTATTCGTTCACTCCATCCCCAGCCCCTCTCCGTCCCTTGAGACTATGATTGTAGGGTGTTTTCTAGAGAGTTATCCAGATGCTACTGACTTCTATGCAAGGTTATTTAAGTGTATTACAGAAGTATCCAGATTCTACTGACTTCAATGCTAGGTCATTTAAGTATATTACAGAGGAATCCAGATTCTACTTACTTCTATGCTAGGTCATTTAAGTATATTACAGAGGTATCCAAATTCTACTGACTTCTATGCTAGGTTATTTAAGTATATTACATAGGTATCCAGATTCTATTGACTTCTATGCTAGGTTATGTAAGTATATTACCAACGAGTCAGATGTATAAGACTTATCTTTTTGCATTCGAGGATCATAAACATTATTTTATTCCAATTCCGTTTTTTAAACGATGGTCTACTTATTGCAGATAGTACGGTATTACTGACATATATGTTTGGCGTTATCCTGAACTCTGATTTGCATTGACAGTTCTATTTCTAATGCTGTAGAGTCCACATTCAAAAGGGATATTTATAATGGTATTTTTGTTTCCCATTAAACTCTTAGGTGCAATCGTCTTGTTTTAGCTTCTCATTACTATTCTGATTTTATACCGTAGGCTGGTAGGTCTTTTATTATAGATGGATAGTGCCTGGTAGGTCTTTAATGATAGAAGGATAGTGACTGGTAAGTCTTTTAATACTGATGGATAGTGACTAGTATATCTTTGAATTTTTTTATAGAGCAAATGCTTTTAGCATAGTGAAATATGGTTATGTGTTAATAGTTTCTTCCTATTTATTCTTATCGTTTGTCTACTATATTAGTTCTTTATTATGTGTTTAGGGTATCGATTGTGGAGGAGGGTCGTTGTAAGGTGTTTCTCATTCTTCTCAGTTGAGAGGAAAGTAATTTAACCCTTATACAACTAACATAGAAGTCTGCAAATCATGAATACCACTTTTATAAGCATTCAAATAGTTAGTTAAATCATATCCTATCAAGGTCAAAGTCCGAACAAATGACTATCACACCTTCCTTTCTCACACCATACTAAAAAACCTATCAGCAAATACAGTCCTTCTCGAGACTCTCCTGAAGACGGCAGCAGATTAGCAGCCGAAATATATCGACTATACACTAATTTGTAAGTAGAATGTAATAGCATAATTGAAAATTGTGACTAATTAGTAATTGAACTATGGTGATCGTATGCGCTAATAATCATGGAAATAAGTATTATTAGACATTCTGAACTTATATTAATTCAGTTTTTGGTGTTTATTTTACACCATATGCATATAAATTCATAAATATTTATGAAATTGTCTTAGTGGAACAAAATAAGGAGATAATTAGCACCATTTGTAATTACACTATTTATGTTACTGAGTTTACATAATATCTTCGATTGTCTGTATATCGGCTTATAAGCTGTAAATTAAAATAATATTAAAGGAAATCCAAAGCTTTTGGTATTTAAATGTTATACTGTGCACATATTTATAGAAATCTGATAAACTTTAATTAGATAGATGTGTTTCGATTTTGCACTTGGCATTATTAATACCATCATTGTTGTTGTTGTTATTTATGAAAAGGAAAGTAACCATAATAATTTCTTTAACAATTTGACTGATGGTTAAGGAGCTCGACTAATGTGCAAGTCGCGAGTTCGAATCTTGTCACCAAACGTGCTCGCCTCCTTAGCCGTGGGAGCGTTATAATATGACGATAAATCCCACTTTTCGGTGATAAAAGAGTGGCCTTAAAGTTGGCAGTTCGTGGTTTTGACTAGCTGATTTCTCGGTAGTCCAGCACAGAAAGCTTATATAAGTTCAGAGTAAGAGTTATTTACATAATAAAGATTTTTTGTGATAATAAGCCTTTTCGCGGTGACTACATGGACAATTTAAGGGCTTATAACACTAAAATGGCGGCTCATTCCCTGTGAGAAAAACAGCAACACATAAAGTGAAGGAGTTACGACAGCGTTGCAGAAAATATTGGAATAAATAAATCTTTCAAAGTCTAAAGGATAACTATAAACAGAAATACTTAGTTCTTCACTTTATAAGCAACACCATATATATATATATTAGTATATTAGTTATTATTTATGCTCGTGTAGATACATGTGTATTTATAGAATGCATACTTTTACGTAGTATATTTTTCTTATCTCGCAAATTGGTCTATAAAATTAAGAGTTGTATAAATCATTTATCTAAATTAATAGATAAATAAATAAGTTATTAGCTTTCAAGTGCAATTAAATGAGTGTGAAACTTTCGAAAGGAACTAATTGCTAAGAATTAAATAATCTCAGAAATTTGACATCTTGAATATCAATATAATAAGCAATTGTTTTGAAAGGTTTTATGACCTCTGAGTGTTGTTATTTTTAGTTTTAAACTTTTCTTCGGTGTTGAGCAGAATTTTACTTAATGGGCTACCAGTTCTGTGCCCATCGCGGGCATCTAAACCCGAGTTTTGGCATTATAAGCTCTCAGAGCCTTTCATTTCAGTTATTAGCTGGGGGCCATAGGGTGGAAACATGTATCATTTAATGCCATATTTTAAGTTGAAACAGATATAACTGTAATGTTTACTTTGGATAAAAACGTGAATAAAAATGTAAAAGCTTGTACATTCTACCACTTTAAAATTGACGTAAGCCAGCCAAAAAAGTTTACGTTTTATTTCAATTTAAACAATGTGTTTAGTTTTGGTTATAAGTTGTTTATAATCGCTTACCTTTTCAATAATTGGTCTAAGATTGATCATAAAGTCACGTTAAATCTATCTAGATAGTTTCAAACTGGGCACCCCCTTGGCTCATCAATAAGTTTTAAGATATATCAACGAAACCATTGCCGTTTTAGAAGATATAATAATTCACAAATATCATTATTTGCTATCTTTATATGACGTAAAACACCTACCTATCAATATCATTATAATCAGGGTTACATGCACAACACGAAATGTCTCGATAATCCCATTTTCCGATATATATTATAAAATGCCTACTTTAGAAACTATATTTCAAGGTTCGTATATATATAACTCAAATAAGTGAGCTCGATTTAGGGATAGTTTTCTCGTTAGGTCATCGATATCTCTCGAAGTTTATAACTTCTGAGTTAGACTTACCACAAGCTTATAATAATCAATTTGTTATGTACTATGATACTAAAAATAACAATTCATGAGACTTACAAACCTAATATGTCTTGCTATCAAAGAAAGCCTTAAAAAGAATCATGAAATAAACAACTTGTATTTGTAATGAATGCCCAAAATACTTAACAGGTGTACCATTTAATCACAAGTTGTATCTATATCAAACAGTTGTATCTATATCAAACAGTTGTATCTATATCGTGCCCATTTAATCACAAGTACGCCATCAAACAGTTGTATCTATATCAAACAGTTGTATCTATATCGTGCCCATTTAATCACAAGTACGCCATCAAACAGTTGTATCTATATCGTGCCCATTTAATCACAAGTACGCCATCAGACAGTTGTAACTATATCAAACAGTTGTATCTATATCAAACAGTTGTATCTATATCGTGCCGATTTAATCACAAGTACGCCATCAAACAGTTGTATCTATATCAAACAGTTGTATCTATATCGTGCCGATTTAATCACAAGTACGCCATCAAACAGTTGTATCTATATTGTGCCCATTTAATCGTCGAAACAAGTGTGTCTTTTCTTTAACGAGAAGAACATTTTTTATTTTCTCGGCTACAATTTGTTACACTTTTTTTTTAGTTTTCTATCAGATATGAATATCACTTTCACACAATATACAAATCGAACATAATAAGCTATGATGAGTGTAAGTCTAATGGACTTTTAATGTAAGAACTAGAACTCCATCTTTAAACACGGTAGAAATCTTAGTAAAAGTAAAAATTTTCACTTTTTTAATAATAATATAAGAAGTAAACAAACAGAATGGCCATTCATTTTTCCTACAGTTTTGATCTTGACTAGCGGTTATCAAAATATTTTGCCTACGTTATTTAAAAACTAAAACAATATTACAAATATTTTGTCATATATTAATGCTTAGAAAAACACATGTGAAGTCATTTTTATTTTATTTAGTGTTATGGGTGAAAGGCTTCATAATTCACTAAAGTAAGAAACGTGAAAACATGTGGTGTATAACGTTTAAGTTGGCAAAATATGGTCCTTTTCAGGGTAATAAGTGTAATAATATATCACAATGAGAAACTTTTCATCACTTGCTTAGAGTGACATAATAGACAAAGTCCGAACAGATTAGTTGCGCAAGTTTGAAATAAGAATTACATATTCATTAGTTAATTTACATCTTAGAAATCTGAGACGCATAGTTAAAAGACAATTTACATAAAACACTTGAAACAATGTAATATAAAAATACATCCAGAGAGTTGATATTTGATTTATAAATAACATCTTTTTTAAATCACACTCGCTTTTATTTTGTCCTGTGAGATAATTTTAAGGAAGTATAATTTTAAGATATACAATATTAGTTATATATCTTTATAGATATATGCATGGGTGTATTCGTATCTATACATCAATGAATTTTAAGTGCTTTGTTGCAAGTAGTTAAACCCGTCTTCACTTTATAGAAAGATAGTGTTAAGAGTGTTAGGCTAAATGTTAGCAATGTATTTATTATTCTATTAATTTTCTATATAATTAATGCATGTGTGCCTGATACGTACAAACTAAAGGGTGAAGAACAAATCAGGTCTCACGATTTTTGTGGATTGTGTTCTTTACTCTATGTTTAAAATATTGGAGATAGTTAGTAAATAGTCTTTAAAGATTTTAAATCCAGGACCATCAACAAAACATAGAGAAATTAATATTATGACTTCAAGGTTGTTTGCTTCAGGTTTCTATTGAATTTTTAACATAGTTTTACATATGGTATATGTCGTTTGCTTATGTGTACTTTGTTGTATAAATATTTGGTATAACTTTTTCAAAAGGGTATTTCAAATGGCGTCTATTCTCTGAATAGCTAATGATTCATTCATTTTATCAGCTGCTCCAGTCTAACCTGGGCCACGTGTTTCTGTCGCGTTCAGACTTGAATACGGATGGAACTTACCGATGTGAAGTTTCTGCTGAAGCACCCTCTTTCCAGACTGAACGAGCAGAAAGAGAACTAAGAGTTTATGGTAGGATTTTAATAAACTTTCTCATTCTGCTCTTTGTTAACAATACTATTAATAAATCATATTAGTCTATAAAATTAACAGCCAAATTGCGTACTTGTTTTTAAACCTTTTATTGACGGTGAGGTCCTTTATTGCATCATATTGAGTAATTTAATGTTTTTGCCTATTACAACAATCCGTCTTAAAAAATAAGTAAACGAATAGGGTGAAATCATTAATTTACTTGTAAAGCACTTAAGAATTAATTTCAGTTTAAATTTCTATTTGTTACTCCTATGTTATTACAGATCATATATATAACAAAGTCATGAACCCACAAGTAATTTGATCAGATATCTGTAAAAAAACTGTTGGGGTCCCCAGTTGAAACTCTTGGGTTAAACAGATTTCAGACATCTGTGTTGCAATCAGTTCTCTATAATTTCTTTTACGCTCTAGGTCGAAGCCTTTCAAAATGTCTATCAATGCATTGCTTTAAAAGCTCCAAGTAAGCAATTGAAACTGTGGGTATAAATAAAATGCAATCATATTAGAAATATCTGGAATTTACGATTTTTTTTCATAACATACTCAAATCAAAAGGAATAGTCATTCAAGCAATAAAATAATTACCTAAATTTTTAAACAACTGACTAGACTTTATGTTGTTTTTCAAACAGAATATGAATGAAAACTAAATGATAAATCACAAGTTCATTTTTTGCCTTCTGCAGACATATAGTCTGGACGCTAGCAAATGACACTCTTACTTCAAACAGGAAAAGGTGATTCATTTACGTACTTACAATGATAAGTGTTATCTTTACAATAATACCTTTTAACTTTAGCTATTCCTTTTTACTGTTACGAATTTTCTGTAATTTTACTTGCTCAAACTTTACGCCTTTTTTTAAAGAAAATACTCCCTGGAGTTGTAAAGCATAATATCTTCTTGAAATATTAGGTGAGTCTTTACAGCTTATTTCTGTCTTAAAAAAAAAGTCATAAATAACAGATCAACATTATCTTTCGCTTCATTAGGTCTTACTTTTCAAATAGTCAGATATTCAAATTTAAGAAAACGAGACTTCAATAAAGTAGTATCTTGTGGTCTGTGAGATCAGATAATGAAGTTACATTTCCCTGTTGTTGGGAAGAATAAAAATTATTTTTCTCTTGTCTACGCTAAACGTGCTTATGCGAAAAACAAAACTTACTTTACTAAAATATCTTTTTTTAAAGCGAAAAACAAATTGCATCTGAATAAAAATTGCTTGGTTTTAACATAACTCATCCAGGTTACTTACACAAATAAAACATTAGAATTCTTCATAAGCATTGCTACTATTTTTATCTGAAAAAGTGAATAATAATATACATATTTTAAAATATTGACATAATAGTGTTAAATAGTGAATATATATTTGATAGAATAGTTTACAACACATTGATAAACATTGAAAATGTAAGTTCTGTGTCTGTGTACAGAAAATGTTCGTGTAATTGAACGTAGTTGTATACACGAAAATTCTGATATGATCTATACAATATTCGACTCCCTTTCGAGGAATGAGTACCTACGTTTGAAGTTCCTGATCCTAAACATAGTCTTTCAAGCTCCGAGCTACAAAACACGTTGTACGTCAGTGTTTCCTGACAAAAAAAATATCGATAATTAATATAACAACCCGAACATTCAACAAGTACTATATCGACTGATAGAAAAATAAAAATGTTCGATTTTCCTCAACAGAGAGAGTTCCAGCCACAAGTCAAGAAGCTTTAGTGAAGCTTTTTCTAACAAATCGTACTTTGGTTGTTTGTAAACATAGAATCGATGTTACAGGTCACTAACGATGACAAGCAAAAATGTTTCTTTTATTAATTTATTGGGTTATTGGCTAAAAACAGAAAATTCAATAACTGTTGTCACAATTTTAATTTTTCTAGTAAAAAAAATAAAAATAGAAAAGAAATTAGAAAAATATCCCCTGTGCATCGGTTGTCCTGTCTAACAGCTTGGTACTGCAGGGAACATACTTTATCAGCACGCTGTTACAGACCCCGATACCCCTAAGGTTCAGGTATAGCTGTCTCTAATCTAGAATTACTGAACCAAAATCAGCCAACAGCACCCGCAACCATAGTGGCTTTGCTCCGTTCTAACTGAATAACAGAATTGCTTGTCATTTTTATAACAAACACACAGTTGAATGTGTGTAACTTGTTTAGCAGCATCATGTCTTGACCTCCAAACTCTTCTATTAGCAGCTTGGAACATTAACCTATAGGCCACGGTCCATCTTTTATAACAAACACACAGTTGAATGTGTGTAACTTGTTTAGCAGCATCATGTCTTGACCTCCAAACTCTTCTATTAGCAGCTTGAAACATTAACCTATAGGCCACGGTCCATCTTTTATAACAAACACACAGTTGAATGTGTGTAACTTGTTTAGCAGCACCATGTCTTGACCTCCAAACACTTCTATTAGCAGCTTGAAACATTAACCTATGTTTGAACCTTTTATAATAATAAAAGTTTTATACTCAATTCTAGCGCCAGTATAATGAAATATGTTTCGCAATTTTCTCACACAGTGGAATGGTGGGAAGGATGTTAGAGCAGTTTTTCAAGGCATGTTACAAAATATTAGTGTAGGCTGTTTTGCAATTTAAACGCTGTGGTTATGTTATTGTTTCGCCATAGGGTGTTTGACGTCATGTTTTGGCCGTTATTAAGGATTAACATTTTCTTGAACGTTTAGGAAATCATTTGAGCTATATAAAAAGTGAGTTAGGCTAAAGTAGACTGATTATTGATAACTGAGTTAATTGGTGAGATTATTAAGTTGATAGTTGATTACTGAGTTGGTACGAATAGTTGGCTATTTCGTCGTTACTCTCATCCGGTTAGTTACATCAGATCTGTGACTACTGAGTTTTGTCGAAGAAAAAAGAGATATGAGAAATTGCAATATGTACAACGGAAATTAGCAAGTAAGTGAAATTGTTGTATTAGCGTTAATTATGAATTTAGGCCTATCAGCTAAATTATAGAACTGTTAGTTGAGGAAATAAAATGTTTTGTTATCGTGAAGTGGACTGGACTTAATATTACTTTTACTAACTAATATAAAATAACTCGCCCTAAAATTAAATCCGCTAAACCAATATGGCCGTCTACGTTAGAAAATTAACCTGTTTTTTTTTGCCTGAAACTCCACAAAGTAATGTACAGAGAATTCGTTTGATATGCAACTTGAATAAACTGTTCTATGAATAATATGCCGTAAAAGTAATCCAATACAATGACGATCTTAAAGAAATTTAGCACACGCTGGAATGTTTTTTATCACAATTGTGAAGGAATCAATAAATAACCCTATGTTACTTAGTTATGTTTACTTTTGTTTTGACGTTCTGGATAAGTAATAGTTTATCAGTGACACGTTACGAAACAACGCTTAACAACAAAAGCAGTGCCTATTATATTTACTTGTTACTTGCTTCTTTAGGAAGTTAAAGATGTTACACGTTAAAAGTGGTATGAGTGTTCGTTATTCGTGTAAAGTACATAACATTGCCAAATTCGTAAACACGACTGTTAATTAAAGGAACTCGATCTCCCAAGTGTTTTCAGAAAAAAAAATGTTATTTGATCAATGATGAAATAGGAACGAGAAAAACATAAACATTTTGTATTCATTCCCATTTTTTACCCATGATGTTAGAATGTTGGGATTTTTGGTATTCTTTAATCAAAATGTGCTAATACTATATTATTAAGTTCGTTGTATGAAGGATTTACTTCTGTCATTCTCTTTCCCTCTTACACTACTTGAAGTTAATTCAGTTTGGAAAACTTTATATTTAAAAGCAACTTTTTTGAAAGTATCTATTTGGAAAATTACTCTTTAAACTATATTTGTTTCATAAGCTGCATTGATGAAATATTTTCAAAATATTTCTAAACAACATTTCAATTTAATTATTTAGAAAATGATAAAATCCATTATTTAAAAACAGCTTATAAGTTTTCATTACTCGTGATTCTGCTATAGTTTTCAATGTTATTCTCATTTATGAATTTCCAAATTTATACTGAAAAATGGACTTTCTTCTTTAGATTTGTTTAACTTAAGAAAAAAATTGACTTATGTCAGTGCAATTCAACAAGAATCATCTTTATGAAACAATTACCTATTTATATACACACAGGTATATTGTTCAATATTTAGTCTACTTCAACAAATGTAAAATAATTTTATTATTCCTGTGGAATATTTTGGAGTGTTTCTAAGAACAAAAAATATTGTTTTACCAATAGGAGGTAGACAGATACAAAAGACTTAAAATAAGTGGTACAAGATATCCGGAAAATGAAATGTGGCTGTCAATAAAATGGAACGAAATCTTCGAAAATATAGAGCACTTTAGAATAGCTGTCAGTTGCTTCTGATTCTTTAAAATGTTTCTAAGAAACCTTACCTACATTAGCCATTCATTTATACAGTAACGTTGTTATCAATGTCGTTTTAATGCAGACTTATATATAGATAAAAGTATTCATTTAATGTATGCGGATCACGGGAAAATTGGTGTTATGAGGACATGAAATACATTTCAACTTCTTTTATTGACAAACATAACTTACGTTCAAATTAATTGTCAATCCCCAAAACTACCATAGAATATGTACCACTCAGTTTTGTTACACTTTTTTCATATAGAGAAAGTGTTAGCTATGTGCATTCTAACGACACACTCATAGTGACGTAAAAAAAATTTTATGTTATATATACTGTATATATGTTTAGATTAGTTCTAAATTAACTTACAAGCTTAAAACGACAAGTTCTGAATGTAATCCTAAAACAAATCTGCATACATTTTAACGTCATAATTTTGAACATTCTAATCATATCGCTGTCAAGGCCTAATTCAGGCAGGCTTTTAAAACTACAAACTTTTTCAATATTCTATTTCTTAATTTATCTTGGAACTTTTTAGCATCATTATGATGTACAAGATGGAGAGAGAGTCCTTTACATTTTAACAGAGACATTTGATTTTAAATGCTGAATAGACCATCTGTAATGAAGAGAATATTATTGAAATGAGGTGTGAAATCTATTGGTCTTGTACAGGTTAAATTGTTGTTCCTTAAGTTATAGAAGCTGCTTTATTACAGTTACTTTGTATAATATTAATACGAAAAAGTAAAGTTAAGAAACAATTTCTTGCTAAATGAAACTGTATACATATAGCTGTTTAACGTCTACAAGATGTTTACAGTTAAGTCAGAAGTAGTAACCATAGCAGAGTCACGTCAAAAGTAAATTATTTTCGATAGCTCAAAAATCCCACGAAATCCTTCCGCATGGCGAAAATCATCCAGTAATCCAGTCTTGTTATATTCTATGTTCCTATATATTCTGCCTCTCTGTAAGAGCGTGCTTGTCACGCTCTGAGTCTGCAAGGAAATTGATTTTTGTAGACTACCTGTCTAAACATGTCAGAAAGGAATTGAGGGTTAGAAGCTGGCAGCTAGTGGGTGGTCCTAGAGTTAAATAACTAACTGGCCACACTTGAAGTTCACACTGGTTTACAGAATACAATACAAAACAGATTCACTATACTATTGTCTAATTCCTCTGATGGAGTGCTAAATAAACTACAAAATCCTTTTATGGAGCAAAAATAATTGGAGCTTTAGAAAACACCTACATAGAATTATTGGAATTTATTACATAGTTTCGAATAGACATAATAAAGATAATTAGTCTTAAAACAATAACTTCATTATTAGTACAGCTACTTTTTGTTGTTTTAGGTTTGGTTTTAAGAAAAATATCTGTTTTTACAATCGGGTGATTCTGTGTTTATAGAGTTTAAAAGAAAGATACAAAGTAAGACAGAATGTCATGTAATTTAATGTTTTCTATACTTTAGTGTTACCTAAAGGAGGGCCTAAAATAATAGGGGCCAAATCACAGTACTCAGCTGGGGACAAAGTTGATATCAAATGTTTAGCAGCACCTTCTAAACCTCCTGCAGTTATCAAATGGTCTGTTAACGATGACGAGGTAAGACGTAATGTTGATACATTACTTTAAAAACATGTGGCTTATTTAATATTGTATGTTAATCAGAAAACGATGTTACTGATTTTGGTACAAAAAAATAATTCCATGTGATCTAGTACATTTAGTTAATATAGTTTACAGCAATTTGCTTAAAATTGACCATATTAAATTAAATTTTCCTATAAAATCATGCTATGTTTTAAAATACATTGTTGTAAACTAATATATTCTTTTCTACAAAACTTATTTAGGCTCCAAAAGTATACCTTTATCAGTTGGAAAACATTCGACACAAAAATGGCTTACAAGCTTCCCAAAAGGGTTTACGTTTCACCGTACAACCCTCCCACGTCTTGGACGGAATCCTCAAACTACGATGCACGGCTGTCATTTCGCAAGCTTATTCTATGAGTAGCGAAGAAATCATTGTTGGAAACACTGTCCGGGCGTCTGGGTTGTATTCCTGTGAGTTATTGTTGCTTTTGTTCAAGTATATAGCTTATAATCCTGCTCTTCTGTCCCCATGTCTAGATCAAATTGTGTTCGTCTATCTTATTTGTATCCATTTCCAAACCTTTGTTCATGCTTTAGTTTCTCGCAGTTTCTTGATACAATTTCTGACCCTATTTTTATATTTCTGGTCGTCGTTTTATTGATGTACTTTCCAAGTATTTGCTAATGCTTCAGTTTATAACCCCAAACATCTCAAATGCTGTTATCGAAAACACTCTCAGTGTCTTTGGTGTAATTTTCTTCGCTCTTTGTTCCAAAGTACATGTATGTCTTAAACCGTGAATCACCTGTTATTACTGCAAAATTGTTTTACAAATCTAATTGTATATACAAAAAGTCCGAAAGGACTTTTTCACAGCTGCCAAAAAAGCAGCATTCAATATAGTTTGTACATAACATCTACAGCAAAAGTAACTTTGAAATACACAAATATAGAAATTACTACCACATTATCTATAAATGTCGTAATTAAAATCTACGGTTTCACACATCAACATTAATACACATGATTAAATTGTGTGGCATTTCTTCTCCTGAAACGATTTACCTTCAAAGTTATCTTCTGTATATCGAGATGCACTGTTATTATATAAATATAATTCTTGTATCGTTCTTAACTTTGGATGTATTGTGTTTTCAAAACATTATTTTCATTGTACATAATTTATTTTAATCCTTTATTCCTTTAAGTGTTTATTATTTATCATTTACATGCATCATATATTCATTAATGATACAGATCTGATAAAAAGCAGTTGTTGGAACATTGCCTGAAACTGAATTTTTTAAAGTGATAAAAGACCAACAGCAAAAGGATTTTTCAAAACAATTGTTAATATTTGTAATACGGAATTATAGAAATGATCACCGTATTATCTATAAGTGTCGTAATTAAAATTTCCGTTTTAACTCACCAATTTTAATAACAATGAATGATGTGTTACATTCGTTTCTATTCTCCTAATTTACTCAAGCATTATAACATCTGAAAGTGAAGTGACTGTTTCGCATGTATTTGCATTTTGCTCATTATGGGGTCCAGATTGTTACCTCGATGCAGTTGCTAGCGCGATCAATACCCTAAGGCGACGCCAAGAACTTCTACACAGTATTCGTGGAAACAAGCTCTCAATGAGCTACATGGTATATATATATATATGATTATACAAAAGGAACATTTATAAAGAAATAGAGCAACAAAAACTAAAGATCTAAGTGAAATAAACCAGAAAATTTGGACTTTTAAAATTCCTTTCGAAAGATACATTTTAAAAAGAGACTCTAGTTAACTGATTAGGTATAGGTTATTAGTTCAAAATGTGTTTAGATAGATTTTTTTTACCTTATGATTTGTAGAATGTCCCTTTATGTGGAATAAAGGCTCCGCCATCTTTACATTTCTTTGTGGGATTATTAAGGATCAAGTAGTCCTCCTTAAGAATGTGTGCCTTTTTATATCCTATAGAAAAACTTGAATGCTTTTTCATAAGAAAAAAATCTGTAAAACATATAGTGTTTTGAATCTGAAAAAAATAAAGATTGTTACTCTCTGTTCACGCTCTTTAGCAATTATTTTGCAATATCAAATTACAAATAAACGGTATTGATTATAGAATAATACTTCCCGATTTTAGTTTTGTAGCTGAAACTGACGTGTTGATTATAGTTGTGCTTTTAGAAGTTTTGACTAAGTGTAAACACTTTCCATAATCGCGAGCTTCTAAGGTTTTCTATCGAGAAGAGCAATTTAAGCATTAAGTAGGAAAATTAATTTTACGTTAAGTAGCCATTTATCTGCTACGGTCGCTTAGTTTATTTCTTCAAAGTTAAACCACATTAATATGTATTAATGTGTATTTCAGATTTTTTTTTCACCGAGGGTAAAATTGAAAAGATAATCTGTGACGTAGAAGCCTAATGCATTCCTTGATTGGCCGTATCCTCTGCTGTGGACTGCACTTTCGCCTATGGCCCGGCATGGCCAGGTGGTTAGGGCGCTCGACTTGCAATCTGTGGGTCGCGGGTTCAAATCCCCGTCACACCAAATATGCTCGCCCTTTCAGCCGTGGGGGCGTTATAATGTGACGGTCAATCCCCCTATTCGTTGGTAAAAGAGTAGCCCCAGAGTTGGCGGTGGATGGTGATGACTAGCTGTTTTCCATCTAGTCTTACACTGCTAAATTAGGGACTGCTATCGCACATAGCCGTCGTGTAGCTTTGCGCGAAATCCATAAAAAAACAAACAAACTATCGCCTATTGCAGGATTATCAGCACAGCTTGGGTCACCAAACCAAAGAAATACAGTTAGCCCTGTTATAATGGTGATGTCTATATGATACTTATGGAGTTTTTGAATCCTTTTAAATCACCATACAGTAAACTAAATTACTTTAGGTGTATGAATAATGTTAGAACATTGCGCCTAATTCATTACACGATATTATACAGTGAACCAACTGTTCAATGATTTTATATATATATATGTTACAGATTTCTTTTCTTTTTCACATGAGGTGTATTTTTGTCTCATACTGTAATTTTCATTCCACATGATACAAGTCGTTATCATTCTTTATTTTTTTAGCTTTTAATTTATTCATTACATGCATTGTATATATTCATTAAGGAGACAGAACTGACAAAATGCAGTCTGGAACACTGTCTGAAAGATACATTTTTATGAGATAATTTATGCTCTGTAATTTTTTTTCTAAAGTATTTATTTGTTTTCTGTAGCCGCTGATGGTCCTACAATTGACGGAGGTCTTTCCAAGTACCAAGTTGGTGATTTGGTAAATGTTAACTGCTCTTCGAACAAATATAGAAAACCTGCGACACTCACTTGGTTTATCAACGACAAAAAGGTTGTTTAGTAGTCATTTCTAGAATAGTTCCAGTTGTTTAGTAATCATTTCTAGAGTAGTATCCGTTGTTTAATAGTCATTCCTGGAGTTGTATCCGTTGTCTAATAGTCATTCTTAGAGTAGTGTCGGTTGTTTAGTAGTCATTACTAGAATAGTACCATTTGTTTGGTAGTCATTCCTAGAGTAGTACCGGTTGTTTAGTAGTCATTCCTAGAGTAGTATCCGTTGTCTAATAGTCATTCCTAGAATAGTTCCGTTTGTTTAGTAGTCATTCCTAGAATAGTTCCGTTTGTTTAGTAGTCATTACTAGAATAGTACCATTTGTTTGTAGTCATTCCTGGAGTAGTATCCGTTGTTTAATAGTCATTCCTAGAGTAGTATCCGTTGTCTAATAGTCATTCCTAGAATAGTACCGTTTGTTTAGTAGTCATTCATAGAATAGTACTGGTTGTTTAGTAGTCATTCCTAGAGTAGTACCGTTTGTTTAGTAGTCATTCCTAGAATACTACTGGTTGTTTAGTAGTCATTACTAGAATAGTACCATTTGTTTGGTAGTCATTCCTAGAGTAGTACCGGTTGTTTAGTAGTCATTCCTAGAGTAGTATTCGTTGTCTAATAGTCATTCCTAGAGTAGTACCGGTTGTTTAGTAGTCATTCCTAGAGTAGTATCCGTTGTCTAATAGTCATTCCTAGAGTAGTATCCGTTGTCTAATAGTCATTCCTAGAGTAGTGTCGGTTGTTTAGTAGTCATTACTAGAATAGTACCATTTGTTTGGTAGTCATTCCTGGAGTAGTATCCGTTGTTTAATAATCATTCCTAGAGTAGTATCCGTTGTCTAATAGTCATTCCTAGAATAGTACCGTTTGTTTAGTAGTCATTCATAGAATAGTACTGGTTGTTTAGTAGTCATTCCTAGAGTAGTACCGTTTGTTTAGTAGTTATTCCTAGAATACTACTGGTTGTTTAGTAGTCATTCCTAGAGTAGTACCGGTTGTTTAGTAATTATTTCTAGAATAGTACCGGTTGTTTAGTAGTCATTACTAGAATAGTACCGGTTGTTTAATAGTCATTACTAGAATAGCACTGGTTGTTTAGTAGTCATTACTAGAATAGCACTGGTTGTTTAGTAGTCATTCCTAGAGTAGTGTCGGTTGTTTAGTAGTCATTACTAGAATAGTACCATTTGTTTGGTATTCATTCCTAGAGTAGTACCGGTTGTTTAGTAGTCATTCCTAGAGTAGTACCGGTTGTTTAGTAGTCGTTACTAGAATAGTACCGGTTGTTTAGTAGTCATTACTAGAATAGCACTGGTTGTTTAGTAGTCATTACTAGAATAGCACTGGTTGTTTAGTAGTCATTACTAGAATAGCACTGGTTGTTTAGTAGTCATTCCTAGAGTAGTGTCGGTTGTTTAGTAGTCATTACTAGAGTAGTACCATTTGTTTAGTAGTCAGTCCTAGAGTAGTACCGGTTATTTAGTAGTCATTCTTAAAATACAACCGGTTGTTTAGTAGTCATTCCTAAAGTAGCGCCTACATTTATATACAAGTCCATATACTTGTTTCTAAATAATTATTAATTTCATTTTAATGACTACGTTTTGAGTAGAATACGGTATTTCATCTATAATTATTTTACAGCTGAATAGACTCCACTCCTGGAAAAAGTCGATTCAAATGGTCAGTGTTTGAATCTGACAGTAGTGATTTTAAAAGAAACGAAAATACATAAATAGTTGCATAATAAGCCAACCATCTAAATTTTACCTCATAACATCTATCTAAAGCGACATAACAGAATATGAGCACGGAAATCAACTGAAACATAACGAATACAATGATAAAAAAATATGTTATATGTTACCATTTAATTAATATTTTTCTTAATCTACACTGAATTAATTTACTTTTTAAAAGAAAGACAAGAACTAAGCAACTTTAAGAAGTAATGATGCATTTATGAAAGTTAATTCCGCCAACATTTGCTGTTTGCGTAGGAACAATTAACTTGTTCATGATCTGTCACAATTTAAAATTCCCCATTAATCAAAAGTAATAAAAAAAAACTGTAGATCTGTTCTCTGGTCACGTGTCTTATTAAATGAAGAGCGTTTAACATACTTCTACTTCGTGTTAATGCTTTTTCATTAGATTTCTAAGAATATTAGGTTCTAAGTAGAGGAGTTTAATAACTCTACTAAAAAAATAACTTATTCAAACAATAGATTAATTGCATTGATATCAGTTACTTCCCAAATATATCTATGAAAACGTAATGGTAGCTCTTCACAAAAATTACTTTAATCAAATGATTTCAGTTGAGATTGTTAATCTTCATAGTAATGTGAGGAATGAAAAAACAACAACTGAGAACACAGAGCGAGACATGTTCTCACGAAAAATGATATATATCAGAACTTATACCTATAATACTGTTTATGTCATTCTCTTGGGGGATATTGGGATATTGCAAGAAAAGAATCGTGTGATTTGCGAGTCAGCATTTTATCCAGCACAGTGTAAAAAATATAGAAACTAGAGTCCTTTCAAACGTATAAACTCTTCGAAAGCAGACAAAACTTGAAAGTTCAAGTCGTTTCACGAGTTTGTTGAACTATCTTACCTGCATTGTATATTTGCTGGTTTCTACTGAATAAAAAAATATATTTATTTTCTGATTTCCTCCTCTATACCGAACAATATAACTAAGGTAGAAAAAATATTGCGAAAATAGAATCAACACAGACACGTATTTTATTTATATTCACGAACAGGATGTTTTCAAGAAACATTTCATTAAAAAAGTAAAAATATTATTAAGCACATATTTCGCACCATGTTAATAGCATCATAATATTATAGCACATGATAATACAGGTAATCAGTATTCAAAAAATGAACAACAATACTTGATTTCTGATCTACAGTATCCTCTAAAAATCTTTAGACTGGTATAATTACACATAGTTGTCGACTTATAGCACAGTAAAATATATTATTGTTTGAAATGTCCATCTAACAGCTTAAATAGAGCAGGTTTATTCCAATTAGGTAATATACTCTATACATTCTACATTGTAGGTTAATATCAAGAAAAAAAAACATTGTTATTTTTTTATATTCATATATTTGTGCAAAGCTAATCAAGAGCTATCTGCGCTAGACGTCCATAATTTTGAACTGATAGACTAGAGGGAAAATAGCTAGTGAACAGCACCCACCGCCAACATTTGAAATACTTTTGTCTGCTCCGAATAGTGGGTTTGGCCTCACTCTTTATATACGGCATCAGAGAGCGGAGCACGATTTTTACGTATTTTTTTTTATTACGATAACGATACGCGACCGTTGGACTTGCAGATCCAAAGTTCGGCACGTTAAGACTGGGTCAATCTCGTCTCATAAGCAACTGTATTGGAAGGTTAGTGGGTTTGATACTGAATGATTATGATTTTGTTTTCTTAGGAAAACACAATTTTTAGTTAACAAGACGTAACAGTTTTAACACCGTTATAGATCTATACTATATAGTAAATATTTGTAAATATAAATGAAGTCGCTTTTATCAAATAAACCTTTATCTAAAATGTAATATTTCCAAAATATTCAATAATATCAATATTTAAAAATCTGTTAAACCTTTAAAAATAAAAGCTTCTGCTGTATAATATAATACTAAGTATTATAATATAATACTATAATACTAATATTCGGGGCTCCATCTTTTGCGTTAACTACACAACACTTCTCACAATCTTTCGTTTAAATGTAGACTTTAGAAGCTTAGGTACTTCAAAATGTATTCAAAAGTAATTAAATGGCGTGTATTTTACAAAAACTGATCTTATTTTTTTTTCACCTTCGTTCTTAAAAAGTTACTATTATATTTGTGTGAAAGATATATATGTATATTGATTAACTGTCTAGCTCCTAGCTTCAAATCTTTTAATTTTATAATTTGTTCTTTAGTATCTATTCTCAACTACTTGAAATATCTGATTAAGAATCGAAGACGAAGACACGAATTCTGATACCAGATGTCGCTTGAAATGTACCTCAAATATTGAGTATTGTTCTTATTTTTTTAATAAGTAGCTAAAATTAGGGATGCAGGGAATCTAAACTAGTAGCTAAAATTAGGGATGCAAGGTATCTGAACAAGTAGCTAAAATTAGGGATGCAGGGAATCTAAACTAGTAGCTAAAATTAGGGATGCAAGGTATCTGAACAAGTAGCTAAAATTAGGGATGCAAGGTATCTGAACAAGTAGTTAAAATTAGGGATGCAAGGTATCTGAACAAGTAGCTAAAATTAGGGATGCAAGGTATCTGAACAAGTAGCTAAAATTAGGGGTGCAAGGTATCTGAACAAGTAGCTAAAATTAGAGATGCAAGGTATCTGAACAAGTAGTTAAAATTAGGGATGCAAGCTATCTGAACAAGTAATTAAAATTAGGGATGCAAGCTATCTGAACAAGTAATTAAAATTAGGGATGCAAGCTATCTGAACAAGTAATTAAAATTAGGGATGCAAGAAATCTGAACAAGTAGCTAAAATTAGAGATGCAAGAAATCTGTTTCTTCCGAGTGTGACATAATTCTGGACATTTCTCTTCCATAACGTTTTGGTACTTTCTTTTTCTCTAGGCGCAACCAATTTCCTTGATGCACTACCCAGTTGCAGAGCATGAAGGCGGATTAAAATCTTCAATTTTAGGTTTGCGCTTTACTGTCAGAGGCCATCATTTCCACAAAGGAGAGATGAGACTCAAATGTACAGCTACATTGTCGAAGGTTATAAACACCACCAGTAAAGAGACAGTAATTGGAGGTCATCAACAAACGTCTGGACTTCACATCTTTGAAACATCCTCGGGAAGTAAGTATTACTTTTGGTTTATGGGATTTGTTTTAAAATTAGAATGCTTGTGTACAATAATAATTATGATAACGGTAAAATGTAGAAAACAAAGATAATAAATGATTTATATGCTATATTTCCTTCTTTTTTGTTTCATTAAAAGTTCAAGTGTGAAAAATGCTGAAATATCAATTTAGTTTTATACGGAAATTTTCCTAGAAAAATAAGTATAATGAAGAAGAACATTCAAATGAGTTAAAACATCGTCCAGTTATCTGGCTTTCTAAATATACTTAGTATAGAAGATTTTCTGAACAACTGCATTATTTGTTCGAAATTTATCTTTCAAGGATGTCTTTTTATTTCACAAAAGTTCTTAGTGTGCTTGAGATAAAATTATAAATACTTTATAGTGTCGTTGAGAGATTTTATTATTAATTATAAATACTTTATAGTGTTGTTGAATGATTTGATTACTAATCATAATTACTTTATAGTGTCGTTGAGTGATTTGATTACTAATTATAAATACTTTATAGTGTCGTTGAATGATTTGATTACTAATTATAAATACTTTATAGTGTCGTTGAATGATTTTATTATTAATTATAAATACTTTATAGTGTCGTTGAGTGATTTGATTACTAATTATAAATACCTTATAGTGTCGTTCAGTGATTTGATTACTAATTATAAATACTTTATAGTGTCGTTGAGTGATTTGATTACTAATTATAAATAACTTATAGTGTCTTCGAATGATTTGAGTACAAAGCATTCGAATGTAACAAAACTTTTTGAAAATGGAATAATTATTTTCAAATTTCAGATAACAATAACGACAAATCAACCCAATATTCTTGGAGAAATCTCTTAAAAACAGTCATCATTCTTTTTACGTTGCAGCTGTACATACAATGAAGGAAGATGTTTAGAGGAACAGCGCCATCTGTTGTGTGAAGTTTCTCATTTATTATAAGCCTGTGATCTTTAAACTTGAAAGTAATATTAATCAGTTATGTTTCAAAGACAATTTATACCTTTTGCAAGAAGTACTTTAGCAATGATATGGTCATCACAATTAATGAATTTTGTTTTAGCTACTATGTTCCAAAGTCAGAGTTCAGTTGAACGTTAAAATGCCTCTTTGCAGCAAATCTTAATCTTTGGCTACCATTCTTTCAACTGACATAAACAAATCCATTACCGAAGATGTTTCCGTATCTAACTAGAGCATCGCACCAAAATAATTGTTATCTTTGCACAGACTATTTTTTATATGATCAGAACATTAAATAGCCAAAACGTTTTCACCAACATTTTAGGCTGATATAAATAATGAACATGCCATAAAAAGTGAAAAGTGTATATTTTACATGTCTGTAAAAATACAAGCAGTAATGCTGTGGCTGGCCAAATATATGTTAAATATTCTGCATCAAATAACTTTGATGGTCCAAGATGTTTTCTTTGAATTAAATGGTTTCATGAACAACTGGTCATCCTGTTAATCATCCAAACATTTATTTAGCATCCTGATACACCTTTTGACCCTCAGATCTTAATATTTCATTATTTTATGTATTTAGATGAAACGTGTTGCGTGATAGAAAGCCATGTAATTGAAACTGTGAGAAAATATAAAGTTTTAGAGAATTCATCTCTAAACACAGCGTAAGTAAACCATCTCTAAACAACAAGATAGTGCCAATTGTTGCACAAAGTCATGCATTACAATAGATTCCAAGTGCTTTTTGACCCGGACCCGGCACACGAGCAAAATATGTCCCTAATATCATTGTCTTGAATGATAAAACAGCATCGCATTTACAATACTTTGTCAATACTCAAAATCTGATTAAGAAAAACACAAAAACAACTAAAAGACTGCCGGGAAATTATAAACTTTTAACTGTCAAACAAATTGATAAAAGAAAATAATTTTGTATTTTGTTTCAAATAATGACAGATAATTTTATTATCCTTTCGGGTTAGTTCCCCAGTGGAACAGCGCTATGTCTAAGAACTTACAACACTTAAATGCGGGGTTCGATTACCTGCAATGTATCTGCAGATAGCTCAATGTGGCTTTGATCTTATAAAAAAACAAAGAAACCTTCAGATTATCCTAATGTTCGATATTTGCTAATAGTAGAGAACAATAACTGTTCAGCGAAGTTTGTTTATTCATTAAATTTAGTTCATACGTAAAAACTTTCTTTCAACATTCTGTTGCCTTGAGAAGAATAGTTTGAAATGTGCTTTTTCTATTTTGTTTTACAGAGTTGTACATGTATTCAGATTACACCGGAGCTATAACATACTGTTCTACGTCCTTAGTCTTAGACAGCATTATAGATCTTCGTGAGTTATTGGTGTTTTTGTGAAAAATAATATAAAAACAAGATGCGGGAATTTAAGAACAAAATTAATCATGATAAGTATGAGGAATGTAGAGAAATTTTAAAAGCCGATAAGATTGATTAAAATATAATACATTTATCATAATAAACTATATCTATGTAAATATAGGTTTTGAATGAAAATAATTCACATTTGAACTGCATCAATAAGCTTTTTAGAATTAAAAAAATATATTTGGCTTCAAACGTAGAAATGTCACTGCATAAAAATAAATATATACGTATATATACATATATAAGCATATTTCATAAGACGTTGAACGAACGTGTTTCATGCATTCAATGTTTTGTTTTCCAATGTTATGCGACATTAAATTCAACTAAGCTTTCGGCATTTCTGTTTTACCTAATATTCATGTTATAGTCAGCTTTTGACACTGAATATGTGTTGTAGAGTGATACAGTCTGTTTTGAATAAGCAATAAGATTTCATGTTTAGATATTTACATAGATGAAAATAAAGTAATTGTAATTACCGTTTTATCGTATGGATTTTATGGTTTGATGATGACAGTTTGTTTGACGGTTATATAAGTTGAAACTATTATGATTTTCTCTGTTGTACGTGATTTCAACTATAACGAATCAGACTCGTGAGACTTGCTTTCAAACTATCCGTATAACTCAGTCTTCACAGTGTTGTTTCTGATTAATGTAATAGTATGTATGCAAAGAATTAATGTGAGTTCGTAATGTTTATTGTTATATGTTAGAAGTATTTATACATCTCAAACTTCTAGTCAATACCTGATGTTCTAATAACTTATGTTAATAATCGTTTACAAAATTCTTGATATCTATGGAAAATTATGTACGTTATACTGTGATAAACTTGTTTCTTCACCTCCATAAACTTATTCAATTCCCTGTAAATGTGTTTGTCACTTTTAAATTATTCAAACATATGGTTCAAATTCAGCCAATAGGTTATTTCCCTCTTTCAAGTTTTCTGTATCTTTTTTTAAATTTTTGTTCAAAATAAATATCATCAATTATTGTATTTGTCGACCTAAGTTATTTTACCACTAAGCAATTATATTCAAACTACAATTAAAATCTTTCTCACGTAGTTGACACTTCTATAATTATTAATTTGTTGTATAGGTTAACAGATCTTTTGTAATAGACTTACAGAAAACATGACATAAATCAATTTAGTGTATAGCACATATAAAGTAAGAAGAAATTAAGATTCTGTGCTATGGTTATATTCATCAACATTTACACAGTTATCTCTTATGATATTTACACTGTACATGTAAAGTTTTGAGGATTTAATGTTTTCGTAGACAAATATCTAAAAACGACAACTTTTGGTTAGTCTATGCTATCCTGCAACTCAGCTAAAGCGAAAATCTCAGTGGTCAATTCAAATCAAGAAACAATTTCTCACTGGTTGAAAAGTGTAAAAAAACATGAATGAGTATTATGCTGACAAGTTAAGCCTAGAGTTACGTGATGAAACATTCTTAAAAACTTGACAAAAGTTTTGGAATAAGAACGTTTTTTCCTCTATAAACTTAATTAGAGAGAAAAAACAGAGCTCTCAAGAATCCATCACTTTCGTTAGTTTAATTTATAGCAACTTCTACTGAAGCTTCGTAAATCACTAAACTGTACTTTGTTTTATTAATTTGTTTATTTTATCCTATTTTAACTTTCAACCGAACATATGGTCAATGGTAGCTTCGCAAGCAAACCCTATGGCTTAACATGTGTTAGATAAGCTGAGTCATCACTGTGACAAGCTCGAGTCAAATTTAAAAAAAATCTCTAACCGAAAGAAGAGTATATGAAGAAATCACAGCTTTTCATTGTTTTTCTAAACTTCTTATATATTTGTACGATGTTTCGATCGCCTGTCAAACATGCAAAGTTTAGCCTAAAGCAAAAAGATACGTCACCTGGTTTTGTATTTTAAATAATGATGCACAAATTAATAGTTGTTCTATAGAATTTCTAATCACGTTTAACGGCAGTAGTATAGTGTTATTTGTGTGTATCAGGAGTTTAGTTAAGTTAAAAGTAATCTAAGAAAACCGTAATTAAAATTTACAAAGAGAGTGCCAGAATGCTTTTAATACAAGGTTTATTAGAATTAATTAGTTAGACTTCTCTAATTCTTCTTTTATTGATGTCTGGTTCATGTTTTAGTATGGTGACCTTTTCGACGTTTTTATTCATCTGTTTTAGAGGGAAGTTTTTGGTGCTCTTTTATCCGTGTATCTAATTTGCCTTCTTTCCACATATGTAAGAGTCAGGGCAGTTCTTATTTTTTAAATGTTTTCTAGAGAGTTAGATTCGTTATATAGTTTTCTTAGCATGTGTTTGATTTTTATTTCTGGATGAACAGGAATCCAGTTGTTATGTAAATATCGTGTTACTCCTTTCCATATTTCTGTAAGGAGTGATAACATTTTATACAAAAGGAATGGTGATTGTAATTAGATTTGATGGGTTTGGCTGTAAGTATATTCGTTTTGTCTGTTTGCAATATTGTTTGTGTTTTTCAATTCACTTACTTTTTCTGTAACTATTTTGAAAATGAATCAGTTTGTGTTAGTGAAGCATTGGATTAATGTCTAATGTCTGCAAACTTACAACGCTAGAAACCGGGTTTCGATGCCCGTGGTGGGCAGAGCTCAGATAGCTTATTGTGTAGCTTTGTGCATAATTCCAAACAAACAAACTAATTTCTTCGTCAGTGTTGTTGGGGGTCCATATGTATATATGCAAATTTAGGAGGTATTTTATTGTGCCTAGCTTTTTGGGAGTTAAATGGTTAGAAAACTGGTTTATGTACTTTCCGCTATAAGTGTCTTATCTGTTGATTTTTATATTGAAACCTTGTAGGGCTAGTGTGAAATTTACATTTAGAATATTTATCGTGAATCTATTTTTACTTTCAAGAGTAAATTGTATGTCATTATATGTGTTGTTTATACATTTATAAGAATAGTATTTGTTCACTTTTGTTCGTAAACTCCCGTAAAGCGTCATTTGCATATCCAAAACAAAAGGAAGGCTTGTGTAACGATGTGTTTATGGCATTTTGTTGAATATGATTTAGAAAACGTATGGCTAATGTATCTGATAAAGGATTGCCCATGATAAGTACATGTAGCTGAAGTGAGTTTAGCAAGTTGTAAGAGTTCGATTTAGTTTCTGGTTTTATATTAGTTTCATGTGCGAAAAATTGTATTGCTTCTCCAAAACTATGTGCGTTGTGATATTAGAGTCTAAGTTTGGTCAATATTTACGAAAGTGGGAAATGTTTTTTTTATTTCCAACCTATTTTAGAAACGCAAGGATCAGTTATCTAATTAAAGTACTTACTGAGATTATAAACAAAAATTAGGAACATGACGGTTTTAAGGGTATGTGTTCTTATGGACATCAAGTACACCATATACTTTTATGTGTTCTTGGTTGATTTTAGTATGTTGTATCATTCTGTTTAATTTGTTGTTATAGTTGCGGTTTAGGCCGGTGTTTGGTTTGGTAAATGTAATTCTGTTTAATTTGTTATTATAGTTGAGGATTAAGCGGGTGTTTGGTTGGGTAAATGTCATTATGTTTAATTTGTTATTATAGCTGAGGTTCAGGCCGGTGTTTGATTGGGTAAATGTAGAACTTTCATGCAAAGTATTTAACTTTAAAAAATCATATTATTTGATACAAAACAGCATCTATTTTAAAGAAATTAAGACAAACATTTCTAAAACCTTTCCGACAACTGACTATAAATACCAATAAAGTGAACTGAGCCTTTAAGTTGGTAAACCTTAAATAAAGGTTTTCGTTTTGCAGTTACTCCTACCACCATCTCTATTTTAGAATTAAAACAAATTTTGAAGAACTCTACAGGAGACTAATAATCCGGTCCAATTATAAATGCAATCCACCATACTATCTTCAAGAATTTTAAAAAAAGCTATGTAATTCACCTGAAGTCAGTAAAGAATGTGAATCTACAGAAATTTTCAAACTTCCAAAACACAATAACTTACAGATCATATATAAACTAAATAAACCAAAAACTGTTCCATTAAGAAACGTTTTAGACAAATTTAGTGAAAAAGCTTCTAACTTATCAAAATCAACAAATTCATGAACAGAATCTGAAGCCAATCGAGCGAAACGGCTTAAACCTAACAAGGCACAGCCTAAGCCCCACTTTTAATTGCGAAATAAACAAAGTATTGTTAATACTATCTCAAAAAAAAAACAATTGCGTACAAAGCATCTAAAATTTATGGTGAACCTTGTGGCAAAGCACATTCTCTTACAAATCTTTTTATCTAAAATCTCAGAATATACTTTAGTTAGATACTGGAAACTTAGTTTTCTAAAGTATGTTTGTAAATAAAACACACTTCACAAATTTCTTAAAAATTTACATAGTCCAAACGTTGTTATCACCATGTATAATTTCGACGATGTAATTTTGTTTTTTCCTCAAATCACCCGACAACAAACACACAGCTTTGTCTCATACTTTGTTGTAAAAGACCCCCAAAAAAGGATAAATATGAAATCAAAAAACCACATAGAACTTTTATAATTTGCTACAGTTATTTTCTTCCAGTATAAAAGTTCTTTCAGCTACATTGGCTCACCTCGGTTAACCATCTATTTATTATTTACATAATATTGAACAGTTTGCCACAAACACTTCCTCACCCAAGCTTTCGTTTCGGTTTCGATATGTAGACGATGTTTTCTGTGGGTTCATAAGCAAAAAGCAAAAAAACACTATTCTTCCAACACATGCGATATACACAAGTGTTATGAAAACAAAATTATCTCTAAATAAAAAGCTATGTAGGGCTAGCTACTGAACTTGCAAAGAAAGAGACCAATGAAGACAGGGATGAAAATGGGCATTTCACTTGATCTGGCTAATGATCAAATAGCAAAATAAGCCGTCTCGACTTCACGTGGAGAATACAGTCCCTCACTGGCAAAACAAATAGAACCAGAATTTCCTATCGTAAGATGTTCTTCTATTGTAAAATACTCATAAAATTAGCATTCTATAGTTAACTAAAGAAAGGTATAATGATGAAGGCTGAAATTATATTCAAACACCAAGCTTTCAATAGACAGAGTAGGAAATCAAATAATGTAGGGATTTCATTCTCCATGTAAAGTCGAGACGTTTTAGTCTGTTATGTGATCATTAGCAGGATCAAGTGATATGTCCATTTCCATCCCTATCTTGTTTGGTTCCTATTTTCAAGTTCAATAGCCAGCCCTACATAATTTATTTTATTTAGCAATAATTGTTTTCCTAATACTTGTTTGTTTACTTATTTTTATATGATGGCGTAAGTGGATACTAGGTAATAGAATGCGTTCTAAAGCTTCATAAATTTTGCATATAATAATCAAAGATCGTGAAGACTGTTTTGCTCTATCAAATGATGATAAAATTATAGTTACTGCTACATATGTTGAAGAAAGATGAGGATGAACGAAAATAAGAAATCAAGGTTTTGGGTATTCGTCTGTTTTCGACATTGGGTCGCTCTGGATAGCTTAAAAACGACATATACACCGGAGATAGAGCGACTACGCCAGGTAGCTCTTCATATCTAGCTTCTGATGACCTGTAGAGAAGAAACTACAGGTGGCTTTTGTATTGTTTTAATATGGGTGTCCGTGTCGTTCCTACATACAGAGTGCTAGTGCATTCTCCGACATGCAATTCACTGTTGGAAGAGAAATTACCTTTACAATATAGTTTCTAAATATAAACATCACTCAAGCATCATAACATTTCATTACAAAGATGTAGAAAAGGAATACATTTGTTAGTTTTCTAACCACATAGTTCACCAAAAAATAGTCACAACTGACTCTTCATTGGTAGGTAATTGTTTAAAATACAGAAAGGAGATATTTTACGTTAAGTTTTAGTTAGACTCTGTGTACTCAACAATGATCGCACCAGGCAACGAAATGTCGTGCAAATGAAAAAATCTGAAACTTAC